GAGGGTACAACTCAGTTCAAAATAATCACAATCAGTTGTAGTCAATCAAATTTTACTACAATAATTCTACACCAGGGATTATAAACTTATAAACTTATTTGTTCCCAACGTGTGGCATCAACAAACCAACCCAGAGGATCTCCTTCACCTATCGTCCCCGATATACTACGTTTGCTCACTATCCCGTGGTGCTGCGAATGCTCACCTTCATTGGGTCCCCCAAAGATAAATTTGCACTCCGATTCCGATTTCTCACGGTTCACAAGTTCTCATGTTTCTACTTAAAGTGTCGTAGTATGATTAATGCGGTTTACAGAATAAGCTTATTTTTGGCTTTAATTTGTTGTTGTAATCTCGCGTCGTACTTAAATGAGTAAGAAGTTATCGAACGCCGAACAAACGCTTTTTCTGTGCTATATAGTCTATAACAAAGTCTCGGTCGATTTTGCTTTTAATATTAGTTACATCATCGCAAAGTGCGGTTCCAAAATGACCAGTGTATTTTACAGCAAAAGGTAAATGTAGTAGTCGTTTGCTTCAAGTTTATAGAACCGCCGGAATTATACAGATAAAATCAGTGCTAGTACCTTATTAAACGAAAATATTAAACCTACGTTGGACAAGATACTTTAGTCTACAATTGTATATCTCTTGCATGTCTGTCTATTGTGTCCTGACTGACGGCAAGCACTGCAAAGGTATTTTCTGCAGGTATCCTCGTCGCCACGAATTCTATATCGCGTCGTTTTTCGACGTCCACGTCTAGGTCTTAGAATTGGTGGGAGGGTAATGTCGTCACCCTTCACTTCTTGATTAAGTGGCAGATGTACCACTTTGTCCTTGAATGCCTCCGCATAGGTCTCAATTAGGTAAATCTTGTTAAAGTAGTCGAATACCATATCCAACTTACCATGGCTACAGCCATGTGCCGATACGGAAGTTTATGCTGGTCTATTAACGCTCACGTACAATGGTTCAGACTCAGAGCGACTCTGTGCTGGATTCTCATGGACAAGTTTCCATTGCCTCTGTACACGTAGCTGATGCCTGGGGACGCATTATGGACATAATAGAAGCCGGTACCAATAGTTCCGGTTCGTACAGTTTCATACTCGTAGAAGTCATGTCCATTGATTTTTGCTGCCATTTAGCATAGTTTTTGTAGCGCATATAGACGCGGTCGAGAACGCGCTCTGAAAGGTGCGGTTTGCAGCAATCTGATGTTTATTGGGAGCCGCTACGGGCAGACAGTTGATATGTTCTCCATTAATCCACGAAATGTACCAATCTCCGTATGTACCATGAGGAATTTCCACAATACAGTACATATGTACTGTATTGTCCCAAAATCGAAAACTTGCTGCAGCTAGCGCAGAAGTATTTAGTTGCACGACGCTCACCAATCTTGCGCTTCAAAATCGAGCACACTTTACATTGCCTCTGACGACGCTTGCGAACGCCATTTACGACCAGCCAGTCTGGGCATTCCACTGGTTCGTGATCTCTTGTAAACGGTGCTATATCTTCCGCATCACTATTAACATCCGAGGCGGTAGACTACACACAA